TTAATCAGACTTATTATGACGTGCAAAGGAAATTCCATCGTGATCAACGTTTGAAATTAAGTTATTATGTGGGCACTACTAGAAGTAGTAATATTAACAATTTCTTTCTCAATAACGTGACTCTGTGTGGTCATGTTATTCTGTTATTATTGGACTTAAATGCATGCAAAGCAATTAATCATTAAGTAATTGATTACAGACAATATTCTTTCTGAAATCGGAGAATTAAATTTAAATGTCAGAACTCGATCGATCTAGATCTTTGAAAAAAAAAAACCATACAGATTTTGAGAATGTAATTTATTTGTAAGATTTTTCATTCAAATGAAGAACATTATGTGGTTCATCTTATTAAAACATCTCCTTTTTTCAAATTCAGACAATTTTTCGTACGATTTTATATTTATCAACCCTGCCATAGAAAGGGATAACACAACAAATAAACCTTACTGTTACAAATATATGTGTAGGGAATTAACCTATATTGTGTGTAGCCTGAAAACGAGGACGAAGATCAACTTTTTATTTTTGTTGTCTGAAAGTAATATAACAGGAATTACTTTTTTTCTTATTTAATCAAGAAGTCATATTGAATTATTCGAAATACTAAGGATTTTCTTATCCCAGGCATAGATAACCTTAGCCTGAGTGAAAGCGGGTCTTCAGAAAGAATGCGACACTATAAACTCGTCTAGTGGTAATAACTATATGTGGATTATTAAGAACTCTGAGGAACTGATGATGTTAAATCTCAATCTTTCTTTGATATCATTTTTTTTCAATACACAATGCTTATCACCACAAAACACAGACCAAGTTTGAAATTCTTTGACGTCACTTTTACTGTTTTAGAGTTATGCCCCTTTACAAATGGTAAAATTGCTATTTTTTTCGTTTCCGTTCTCTTATTTTTATAATAAGTTTGCCTCAACTAACTTATATGAAACTTATGCACAATGCTTATTACCAATAAACACAGATCAAGTTTGAATTTTGGTGTCGTCACGTTTACTGTTCTAGAGTAATGATGACCCTTCACAGAATTGAAATTTTTTTTAATTTTTCGTTTCCGTTTTCTTACTTTAGTTTGCTTCAACCAAATGTTATGAAACTTTTTCGTAATGTATTATGTAAGCGGGGGCATCATCTGTGTCCCATGGACACATTCCCCATTTATTTCAAACTATTACGTATTATTTCTTTTTATAATGCATTAGAATCGGAATTATAGTTCTGACGGTCGCAAATTTCCGTTTTACTTTCTCTGCTACGCGTCGACAGTAAAACTGCATTTGCGACCATCAAATCGCCTCAACTACAGTACTGTTATTCCTGTGTACTTCATTGAACTGATTCTACATGACTTATTTTATTTATGAACAATACATATACAGCTGGTCATCCGATTCCCTGGCCATCTTCTGTTTCGTCTATCCTCATGTATAGGAGCATGCAGTTTGTTTGCTTGGTCAAAAACTCCAAATCTGAACATGGTGTAACAATTGGACAAATCAAACCAGTAATATATCTTTCTCCTACAGGGCTTTTTCCTGCTTAGTCAAAATTATTTGATCATATTTGTATAATATTTGTACGAGTCCAGATTAAAATGAATTGAATAAACACGGCTGCTGTACATGACTTTACTAGTCAATATTGATGTCTTTTCATCCAATTGCTGCATACAAAAAATGTATCAAACATGGGGCAATAAAGACATTTTCATTACTTTTAATGGCCATCAAAATGCTATCCTAAGATTCAAAATATTACAGTTTGAAGCACTGAACATGCTGAAAGAAAATAAGTGTTTCCTTCAAAGTCAGATACTTGTATATGTAATACACAAGTATGACCAAAGTTAAACACCTTCCATTCCGACTGATAGATGTTGGCATAAAAGTTAAGTTAATCACTATTTTCTCTGATTGGTTATGATCAATCCCAAAGTGTTACAAGACAAAATGATTCTTTGAAAAATGATGCTATTGAAGGTGACTTTCAATGTGAAATCTTCTTTGCCGATTCACAAAAAACGTACTTTTGTGTTTTAGAGAAATGGCATGATGAATATATAACGCCCATTTCGTAAAATTTAGTTCGGGGACATATCAAGTTTATTAGCTCATTATAATGAAAATAGTTCTTAGTTTAAAAAAAAATCGTTGGACCCGGAAACGGGATATTTTTGACTTTGTGTTGCCATCGCAATGGTTTTATTTTAACCCAAAAATTAAAAAACCTTGTTTTTTAGAACTTTTTTATTAACATTTGAATTAATTTCTTTTATTAATGAATGGACCACAATTAACTATATATGTTTTATTCAGTTTTGTTTTTTTTATTGTCACTTACAAACATTAAATGATCGGGTACTCCTCCCTGAACAAAATGATATATCATATTGGTATAATATCACTAAGAAAGAAATCCAGATATCATGCAAACCTTACCTTAGGACAAACTAAAGATCATTAATTTCTCCATTTGTTAAGTGCATAACTCTAGAACGGTATAGGTGATGCCTCCAAACGTAAGCTGTGTTATACAGCAACAAGCAATGTGTATAAGTTTCATAACATTTGGTTAAGGCAAACTAAAGTTAGAGAACGGAAAAAAACAATTCAGCAATTTATCAATTTGAAAAGGGGCATAACTCTATAACGGTAAAAGTGACACCACAAAAATTCAAACTAAATCTTTATTTTGTGGTAATAAGCATTGTGTATAAGTTTCATAACATTGTGTTGAGGGAAACTAAAGCTATACAACGGAAACGAAAAATTCAGCAATTTGTATGTTTATAATGAGGCATAACTCAAAAACAGTAAAAGTGATGCCACCCAATTTCGAACTTGATCTGAACTATGTCGTAATAGGCATTGTGTATAATTTTCATAACATTTGGTTGCGGCAAACTAAAGTTAGAGAACGGAAACGAAATATTTTTTATGTTTATAAAGAGGCATAACTCAAAAACGGTAAAAGTGACGCCACCAAATTTCGAACATGATCTGAATTATTTGGTAATAAGCATTGTGTATAATTTTCGAAACATTTGGTTGAGTCAAACTTAATTAAGAGAAAGGAAACCAAGTTTGGGACGGGCAATTGTAAAACTACGGCCCCGCCGCGAAGTCGTGGGCACAACATAAGATTATCTAAAGATAATAACAAACGCGTAACAACATCCAGGATCGAAATACTTTTTCAAAATAAGGTAAGCTTGCAATTTTCATTTAGTTAAATGAACCTTGAACAAAAGGGAACGAGATTAATAGTGCAAAGCAAAGCAGAATAAGCTACAGTGACCTGAATCATATCTTTACTTGAAAACGAACGTACTTTAAACATTATAGTTGCCATTAACACTGTGTGAACATTGTAAATGTTTGCCTCTCCTTGTCATCATGATGAACATTTACAGTAAATTATAACTTGTAAAATATAAAGACTATATCTACAAAGCAAAAAGCAAATTAGTAAATTATTCACTAACTCTAGTCACACTATCAAACATTCAAAAACGATGAATATAGTCGCCATCCCTATCAGCATATAACGAAAGTTACGATTATCACTGATCAGTTACTATTATCATGTCCAAGTTACGACTATCTGATAATCAAGTTACGATTATCATTTCTACCAAAATTCTTGGAGTTACAATGATCTTCCATAAAATTGCAATGGCTATTATTTCGGTAACAAGGCTACATATGATATTAAGAACACACACACACAACAATACCGTACATCAACCTAGCGGCTGAGTAATTCTTGAAAACAACGCGTGCACACTGAGAAATTAGAAGAAGGCGATTTCACTTGTTTTTGGCTCCGCCATGTTTGGATCGTGGTTACTGCAATTATCATGATCAGTTTAACAACAGTGAAATGTGCACCGCTCCCGTTCGACCTCTTCTTATTTTCCTATGAGTCGAAGTAGTTAGTACTTTGTAGTTTTCATTGATATTGTTCTGTTGACCAATCTATGTTGTACTCTTTTCAAAACGTTTAGAAAATACATACAGATGAATAAGTACATTTTATCTTTGGTTTAGATAACTTGATTACGTCCTGTCTATAAGTAATATAATCTTGTGATAAGATTTTACTGATTCATTCTCCAAAGTCGGATATGAGATAAGTAGAAAGAGCAGAACACTCCAAAATATGACGGCAAGAGATTAAGTCTTTCACATGCTAGAGGTTGTTGAAGTGAAAATCAAATTAAGTATTATTAAAACCGTTTGATTGATGTTTTTCAATTGTCTTGTATGCAATGTATATGGTTATTGTTTTGTATAGTTTATCAGTTAAATTCTGATTGATGCTGGGAATAACAGATTATTGGTATTCATATTATAGCTGGTTGATTTGGTCATATAGTTTTCTCTAAGTAGTTTAAACTTAGTCCTGTATCTCTTATGATAAAAATGTATATGCATATTAGTCGAAAATTAGGCAGCCTTGTAACCAGGTCCTATTGTATTTTCCAAATGCAGTGTAGTAGAATCCAAGATGAAACGGTATCGAGGCTGATTTCTTGAAATATGACAAGGCATACATGAAATCGAAAATTTGAAAATATTTAACAATTTTAAAGTTTAATCACAGGTTTTTGCTCGTCGTTGTTCTCCTCTTATATTTGATGCGTTTCCCTCAGTTTTAGTTTGTAACCCGGATTTGTTTTTATCTCTATCGATTTATGAGTTTCGAACAGCGGTATACTACTGTTGCCTTTATTTTTTGCTACATGGTTTGAAGGGTATGATCTCGGATGGTTATTAAGTTATAAAAAGATCACAACTATATCTAGTCATCTTGAAATGGTAAAATATCCGTTAATCAACATCATCAGATAATTACTTATTAAAAATCATAGTTTCTATGTTAAACTTTTTCCAGATATGTATACCTATTAAAACATCATTCATTCAACTAAACAACACTAGCAACAAGATTTATGTTTTAATATTTTTTATTTGTTGGTTATGATATAATGTTTGCTCGTTCCAACTAATGCTTCCTTCCAAGTAACTGCGCCATTCTTGTGCATGTACAATCGTTTCTTGTCGTATCGATGTATGTGACATAAGGACAACATAAACACATGTAAGCACGAGGTGAAGTTATGGAAACATTATCGCAGTCTTGGAAAACCCTTCGTCCATTCACTATTCCAACTCTATAAAATAAACAAATTACTTTTGAAAATCAAATAAAACAGGCATCACAATCACCCTTCACAATATTCAAAACTATAAATACAAACATTTTATCTTTATCTCACTCGATGATATGCTTTCTTCTCTATTAAACTTTGAGACTTAAGCACTGATCTGGTAATTTCACTCAAACCTCTGCTTTATTGAGTGAAGAAATTGAAAGAAGAAATTACTAAAAAAAACATGACTTACATTTGAATTTTGATGATGAATGCACTTTTTTATTGCATTAACATTATTGTCTTTTATCTGCTTCCCGATTTAAACTCAAATATGAAAGGTCATATTCCTTTATGTTTTCAACAGACCACTTGAAGAAACAGGTTAAAAAAAAACGAGCAAGTTTTTTCGAGCATTTCAAATCTCCTGAAAATTACGGTTTTAAATCATATTTTAACCAAACACCTCAAACATATTTATTTCTAAAGATATTAAAGATTACAGATTTGACCATCGAATGCAACATTGAAAAAAAAAAGTATACATGACGGAATCTTAAAAAAAACATATCATTATTTGGGATTCTTCAATTAAAAAAAACGAAAGGTATCTTTTCAATAGATTTAAGACAAGACGATTATTAAAATTATCAATATACAGTATTGTTTTATATCAAAATATAGATTAGAGCATGTTAGTTGGTTCTTTCTTAAAAGCGACTGTCACTAGAAAAAAAATAAGATGGAAATAAAATTCGGTAGCAGACAAAAATAAATTGAAAACTTGGAAGTCGAACAGATGAATAGTCGGTCGCAAGACCAAAATTAGATGGGATTTGACTTCTTTTGGTCCTCTTTCACCTTGGGGAACATAAAAAACAGCCCATCAAAAATGACAAAAACAGTTTTACAAGACAGGAAAAAGTAATATTTTGTTTTCTTGTTTGTTAAAATATATCTTACCTGTTGCACATTTGAAGTCGATTGGAAGATGTTCCTGAAGTTAAACCAAACTTCATTGTTGGATTCTGTCCATAGCAATCAGTAGGAAATACTGTTAATCCTCGTTTTACACGCCTTCCTAAGAAAAAAGAAATGTTTGACTTAGTCTGCTGTTGAAAATGGATATGTTCATATTGCACAACAGAGAAAAACACAACCGTATTGTTATAAGTTAATAGCAGTCAACCTCAAAACATTTGCATAGATGAGACATCCTGTACCTTTTAACTAATTTTTTTCAATAAAATTGAGAATGGAAATGGGGAATATGTCAAAGAGACAACAACCCGACCAAAGAGCAGACAACAGCCGAAGGTCACCTATGGTCTTCAACGCAGCGAGAAAATCCCGCACCCGGAGGTGGTCCTCAGCTGGCCCCTAAATAAAATAGTGTACTAGATCAGTGAAAATGGACGTCACACTAAACTCCAAAACATATAAATGAATTAAATTAAAAAACAAGACTAACAAAGGCCAGAGGCTCCTGACTTGGGACAGGCGTAAAAATGCGGCGGGGTTAAACATGTTTTGTGAGATCTCAACCCTCCCCCTATACCTGTAGTCAATGTAGAATAAAGAAACACATAGCAAAACGCACAGTAAAACTCAGTAAAAAAGAAGTCTGAGTCCAATGTCAGAATAGGTAACAAAAGAAACTAAGCAAAATGACAATGATACATAATTGAACTAAGGACTACTAGCAGTTACTGACATGCCAGCTCCAGACCTCAATTAAACTGATTGAAAGATTATGTTTTCATCATATGAAAATCAAGTACAATCCCTCCCGTAAGGGGTTAATATCATACCATCATAAAATATATGAGAAAAACATAACCCGTATCATGCCAATAACTGGTTTTAGAATAAATGTGTTTATTTCCGATGCAAAGACCCTATGAGTGAATCAATATTAATACCAAGATATGCAATCCTTAATGACTTGACAACAGTATCGTAACTATATCCTTTCCGAATAAGTCTGTTTAAAGGTTTGGTTATCTTTTGAGGTGAATGCCGACATTTTTGTGCTTTGAAAAGAATATTACCATAAAGTATTAGATGTGAAATACCCGAATGTATAAGATGTCTGCATGTTGATTTATATTTACGAATGATGTCCTTGTACCGATGATAAAATTTAGTAAATGTTTTGACTAGTTTGTGATATCGAAAACCCTGGTGTAATAATTTTTCAGTAATACAGAGATTTCTTTCGTTGAAATCAAATCCATTGTTACATACACGAGTGCATCGAACAAGTTGAGATGTATAAACACCCTAAGATGGTGACAAAGGAAAGTCACCATCTAAAAATGGATAATTAACAATAGGAAATGAAAAATCATCTCTTTTATTATAAATTTTGGTATTAAGCTTCCCGTTAAAGATATAGATATCAAGATCCAGGAAAGGGCAGTGTTCATTGTTAGTATTAGCTTTATTTAAAGTCAGTTCGGCAGGATAAATGTTTGTATTTAACAAACTGAAATTGGTTAAACCATGCCAATATCTAAATGTTCATTTTTTAAGTAGTCCTGTAAAGTTGTTGCTACTCTCTTTTGATTAATTTTATAACTTGATGTCTAATGTAGGACCTTTAGTCGTCCTTTGTTACCGTATATATTTATGAGCGTGGGTAAATCTTTGTTGATTTTAGTTTGCATATTCAAAAATTGGACCAAGACATTAACCATTGTTAATATTACCTTGTGAACCACCCATTTTAAGAGTAAACATTAAAATTTAACATTGAACAAGATCCTGTTTTTTCTAGTCTGTGTATGACGTCTTTAAAGTAAACCTTTTTTGTAAGTTCCGATTGGTATTTAATCATGGTTTATTTATAAGTTTAAATTGGCATTGAGTTGTAGATGATTACACCGAAACCTGTTATTATTTGCTTGTTTTTGTTCTAATATTGCTGATCTGATAAAACACTTTCCAACTCATTTTCCAGTTTGTCCCAGGTTTAGGGGAGCTTTAAGCGCTCATATATATTCCCTATGTCTTTCCAAGCCAGGAACCTGTGTTGCTGTTGTTGTCATACATTTGTTCAAGTACTAATATTTTTTTTATCTGTTCCTTTTAAACCATACGACGTGGAATGGTTTTTGCTCGCCGTTGAAGGTTGCACAATGCCCTATTGATGGTATACAAATCCTTGTCCATTGGTATCATGCGGATATTTGTCTCATTGACTCTCATTCCATGTCTCTCTAGTTTTATTTTGGTAAAAGTTTATTCTTTGAAAATCACTGAACCGTTTCAAATGATGACTGAATATGAAAAAAACAATTATGATGTTTTCGAAAAGCTTTTTGGATTAACAAACGTCATGAACGTTGAAACCCAAAAATCCGATTGCGAACGATGTATGAATACTTGAATGCATAAAGGGCTTCAAGTTCTAGTAATTATTTGTTTCGTTTATTTGCTGATGAGACAATGTAACGAAAATGTAACTAGAAGTTAATATGTGTTAACAATTATAATTTTTTGGAAAATTTGAAATGAAATCGCGTTAAAGGGAAAGACATATTCAAAGAAAGCGTGGAACAAAATTCAAGATTTGATTTGTATATAGATATAAGAAGATGTGGTATGAGTGCCAATGAGACAACTCTCCATCCAAGTCACAATTTATAAAAGTAAACCATAATAGGTCAAATTGCTGTCTTCAACACGGAGCTTTCGCTCACACCGAACAGCAAGTTATAAAGGGCCCCAAAAAATTACTAGTGTAAAACCATGTATGTCTGACAACAAAAAGGAGAACATTTAACGGGGCGTACAAACAAACTGATGTACAAACAGGATTTAACCAGTATACAACTTCTTTAAAGTTGTGGCACAAAACGATTAATCATTAGAGAATTTAACAATTGGCAAGGTTCCTGACATGAATATGTGGCAGGGTTCAAGTCGTTTTCTTATCTCTTCAATGTTGAATATTAAAAGGCTATAAAAGCGATCTCTACAATCTCTATTTTACTCTTAAATTGAAGGTATCGCATTTAACATAATTTCATGCACAAATAAAACATGATAAACACTAAAGAACTGAATATTTAGTCAATAAAACCGAACATACATAATAAAATAACAATTTCTAAATAAAATTGGCCTGGTGATTAGCATTATCGTAGAAAGATGGTGCGAAGTATTTCCAGTATAACTCTGCTAAAATACTATAAAAAGCCTTGGGTAACGAATATTCCTTGAAATCTATTTACCCGCTAGCCCCTCAGCAATTTTTTCGACGATAAATACATATCATATGGAAATTACTACGAATAACACAAATCAATTTCATTGAATATTTCATAGGTTATTTATGGTCACAATTAATTGACCGATAGTCATTCTAAAGTCAGAGACGTACCTGCTTTAAGATTTCTGATATTAAGTATTTTAGCGTCATTGAGTATTTTCTTTTCCTTACACAGTGGGAATCCAAAGCCGTGGTAAAACTCTCTTAAATCTTCTTCCAGTATAGTTGTGTCAACCATTTCATCTTTATCAACATGAAACAACTCTCCCTCAATTGTGGTATGCGCTTCCGATATACTGTTAACTTCGTTCAACTGAAAAATGATATTTGATTTATTTGAACTCGAAAACGAACTGAAAATGCCATGAAAAAAAATAAAGAACGAAAGACAAACAAAATTCTAAAAACAAATCAGGATAAAAAAAAACTAAAAACTTTAGCATTACGACCCAATTTCAGGGTTTCATCCAATGCATGTTGCTGTAAAAAGGCTACATATATTCTGTGGATTCATTATTAATCGTTGGATAACAATTTTCGTAGATATCAATAGTACAGGGGAAGCCCGAAGTTAGCTGTTCCACGAATAATGAATGTTCTATAGGCTTGTAAACAGACTGCGGCAAAACCAGGAAATTAATCAATTGTATCATATTTATACATATTGTAATATATAAAATAGGCATTCACAGACTAAACATGATTATATGTTGACATTTGTATATTTCTTACCAAGCTTTGCATAAATGTTTCCATAATCAGGCTTGCATCTACATTATGCTCTGCTTTGTTCTCCCGCAATCTACATTAATTTAATGATGGAATGCACGTGATCTGCTGTCCCTGAAACAAAAACGTAAGAGTCATGTTGGAATAATATATCTTTTTCATTTCAAAGAAACCCAGCATCATTCTCTTTCTACGCATACTCTCATTTTCTTTTATCAAAACAAATATGAAGATAATCCATATATATCCATTAGTTGTAAGTATTAAAATGTGTAATGTCTTGTTGTTTGTTGAATTTTAATGAAATTTGGGGTATCAGTCAACATGGTCAATGAAACAACACCACAACATTGTTCTTTTATCAGATTAAGTAATGATCTTACTCTTAATTGTGATTGCAAATGCATTTTTACCGAAATTTATCTGGTTGTTACTGGTAACTGTTTAAATACTGACATTATCCGAAATACTAGCGAATTTTTACTCCGGTAATCATGGTAATAGATTACAACATATGTATTTGACCAAACCATTTAGAATTATGGACCGTAGAGCTTTTCAGCTTCGTAATTTATTAGGCCTTAAAACATATTTGTTTCAAACGTAACTAATGAATATTTTGTATATGGATACGATTTTTGCGTACCCAATTGTAGGCCTGGTATATTTCACGATTGTTTTATCATACATGTACAAGACAATTCTTTAAAAAAATAAGTAATGACGCAATAATTAGTTTTCGTAGCAGCCTTTTTGAGGACTACTTAATTTAAATATGAGTTTCAGCGTATTCCCCATATAGAATATTTGTAATAACAAATTGTGTATCAATTGGTTTGGTGTGTTATTAAAGTTTCCACTGTCTTAAGTCAAAATGTTTCTGTCAGAAACTTTGATGTTACAAACCTTTTGAAAATTTTGCATTGAGTACGATTCCAAAACTTCATTGTGTGCAAGAGTATGAATTTTGAAAATATTCATTTCTCGATTTGTCTCCATCTCTCTCTCTCATAACTGGCATTTCCGTCATTAATCAGATAACCCAATTTCTGAAACAAATATAAGTTTTCGAAAATGTGTTTTAACTAGAATGTAAAAGAAAACGTTGTATCCATCCATGACGCAAAATCAGTACAAGCACAGCAAAAAAAAACAAAATCCTTTTATTGCTGTTCTTCTTATGAAAGTAGCAGTGAGTCCTTCAACACGGAGCAAAAAAACTCTCACCTTATACCAAGTTTCAAAAATTCACTACCACCGTCTTTAGTGGAATGCTTTGCAAAATGATAGTCAGATAGACTGTGTAAGATGTAAAACCACCATGTCGGGCCCGGTCAAATAGCATACTGGAAAGTAGTTCATTTTTAACAAACTAGTCTCTACGCATAGGTTTACATATGCATAGAATAAATATTTAGGTATCACCTGAAAGGTGAAGGACGGTGATCCTAGTAGAACATATTTTGACTGATAAAATTGAAATTCAAACATGTATTTAATAATTCTAAAATTGAGGGCATATCTTGTCTGTTTATCAGATATCAAGTACCTGATAACAATTTATTGGCAGTTTTGAATTAAATTATACTTCTGCTTCATTGAGTTTATCAAACAGAAAAAAGTATGATTACCAGAAATCCCATTCATATAAATTGAATAAAATGGGGGGAAATGTTTACTAAATAAAACAAGATAGCAATCCAAATATACACAAGTAACTAGAAAATATATAAAGTGCAAATATATGTCTCCAATAATGTATTGAGTTATAGAAAAAAAAACATGATTTGATATTGAACATTTACTCCCGTTTGTAAAGAAAATTTCAGACAAAGTTACAATAACGTTCCATTACAGAAGTCAACATTATAGATTTTGTTTTAGATATTCCGATAATCATAGATCTTATTTATGCCATATGGTTTATTCTATGCTCTACAATTATTAAAGCCTCAAATAAATTGACTTTTAGCTGTTTTCTTCGACATTAAATATACGTACCACATCATAAGCCGTTACAACCAGCAGACAGATAGCATTGATGTGAATGAAAATTATCAAGCTCATTTTAACGTTGATGTTGATATCTATAAAAATGAGAATAATAAGCAATGTTTTAGCTTTAGTTTTGATGAATACGATTGATTGCATAAACATGTCCATGTGAACCTAACTTGATTAAAAAATACTCCACTTAGAATTGTTTACTATTGTATAGAATTTTTCGATTTAATCTCAACATCTAGCCAGATGTACAATTTTTAAAGTACAAAGATTGAATTGTAAATAAGTTTTAACAGAAAATGAACCCGCATAGACTTCTCATTTAGTATATGTGCAAAAAAGTACAAAATTCTAACATTGATAATTAACAACTATTGCCTGTAAATAATATTTCATGAATTGAAAAGAAAGATAATCATTTTGTCAATTCACTTACCTTTTAAAATGTGATGACCACGTTATGATACAAAGTCTTTTTTAAAATCTTTATTTATACTTAGTTGTAAGTGTGCCCACATATATAAGTAAACCACTTTATACGTAACAAGTACTTAACTTGATGATATGTGAACGACATATAGATACATATACTATCCTTTTTCAGATATACGATCAAAAGTTGGAAATAGTAGAATATGACGAAATTGTTGAATGACAATCAACTACAAAATACCATGTCTTTTCACAGATGTTTTTTTATAATAATATTTGGTATTACAATAGAAATAGTTCAAAAACTGTTCCAAAAAGGACATAAAATTAACAAACAGGTCACCCATTAATTATTCAAACTATCGCTCATTTGCAAAATGCAGCTTAAATATACTCTGTTCTGTATGGTGCTGTGTTTGTCTACCATTTTGTGACTACCCCTTTTTCTTATATCATAGCTGAAATAATTTTGTTAGATTTAAGGCGTTCTTGTGATTTCGGAATGTTCTTTTAACCTTTTTATTGTTAATTGGTATATGCAGAATTTTTTTAAAATATATGTGTAACGGTCCCAATGAATATTTTTGTATTTCAATGTTTACAATCTGGTTTATTTCAAGAGATACAAGAATCCTCTTCACTTTCCGTCTGATCATGAATGAAATGACATGAATTGTCTTATAAACTGTTGAAATGTTAGTTAGTTCTCTAATATGAGCATATAGTCAAGAGTAAATCTTAAACATCTTTTCAAGTGACAGATTTTTTCCTCGGTTAAAGATTTTTGGAAAAAAAAATGTATTAATCCAACGTCGATCTTGTCAGTTGTTTCTGCTGAGCTATGTGTTGCGTTATGCAGTCTTATTCATGTCTGAACTTGAAAAAAATGAAGTATTTTAGGATATCGTTTTTTTTTTTGTAATCTTGATTGACATGAACACAGACAGTGCACGTATGAATTAGTCCCACCCTTATTTCATAAGACAGATATGGAATATTTTAAGCGTTTACTGCTACAAAGGTGAACATTCCTTCATATTTCATATACGTTAATTTTGATATAGGGCTATAAAATATTTGTACATACTTTAAATAATATAAATTAACATCTTAACACACTTAATTTTGTTGTCCTTTTGGTTTATACGCTCTTCATAGTGTAGATAGTTTTGGTTTTCAATAAATTCAGTACCGTTAATATTATTGTTCCCGGATACTTAGATTCAATTTTAAAAAATAAGTTAAAAAAAAACATAAACCCTGATAAAAGAGAATTCAAAAGTTTTAATAAAAACGAACTTTGGATCATTCACGTACAATCCCGGGTTAAAATAAGAACTCTACTTTTGCAGTGTACTGCCTTCATACAAGACCTAGAGTTAATACGACAGGATTCTTCATGCAAGTCTATTTTCTACTTACTACATATTTGTTCCATTCTGATGTTTAAAGTCTGGTCATTCATTTTAAAGAGCCTGTTTACATCAGAAATTAGATTGTTGAAGTGTACCTACTTTATACAAGGACAATATGAAAGATGTTAAAAATAATTTCTTCTGCTGACCTTGACAATTGATTATTTCAGTCTTCTGGTTTTGCCATCTTAATCGACATAAAAACCCAGTTTATACCAGGAATAGCTTCATACAAGAGCCAATATGAAAGATTTTCTGCCACTGACTTACTTTTCATTGAAGTGCGATCTTGAATACCAGGAATTGAATTTCTGAAGTGTACCTACTTCATACAAGGGTCAATATGACATATTTCGGAAATATCAGAAAGTTGTCTTTAATTGATAAAAAGATATAAATGTTTAATCTTCTTCAGGCAAAGATAACCCTCGATTAGTTTGCTATTTTTTTAGGTATATTTTTTCATTTAAATGTGCATATTGCTTTGCGAGTGTTTAAATTTTATTATCCGCTTTCAAATGTTTGGTTTTAATCGAAGGTGAATTTGGCGACACGATCCAGTTATACAAAGTTAGTTATTGTCTTTGTGTAAATAAGTAGAGTATTTAAACAAAACTAAATGATGTTTATTTTTCATTTAATTTATAAATGTAATAAAAACTTTTACATGTCAATATTTAATGTTGTATAAAGGTCATTGAATACCAATACACATTTTATGTATTAACGTAAAATTGATTTCAAAACATTATCATAAAGTCTCTAAACTTGTTTTACTTTAATAATTTACATTGAACATTAAAACCATATATATATCCCATGTGAAATTGAAATAATCGTCTAAAAGAAATAATCCACAATGCTTTTTAACATAAAACATAGTCTTTGTGAATATAACTTTTACTGTTAAGTCTAATTTTGGTAATATCCATATGAAGTGGCTCGGTATTTATACATCCCGTCATTGTATTATTGAGCTATGGTAAATTGTTATATTCTTGTCTTTCATTTTTTACTGATGTGCTATGCCTATATCCCTTTTTGTGTTTCATTGTTGACATATTTTTTTTTTTATAGTGATTAAGATTATAACACAATTTTGTATGTTGTACTCCTTTTTTTGACATTTCTACCTCTTATGTCTGTTTGTTTTGTTCACACATTGTTGTTTATATAATGGAATTTTATACGACTGTCATACAAGTAAAAGGTTTAGCTAGCTTTAAAACCAGGTTCAATCCACCATCATTTAATATGAAAAGGCCTGTACAATGTCTGGAATATGACAGTTCTCTTTCATATTTTTGGTGCGATTGAGCTTTTAAGTTTCCCATTTGATAAGGGATTTCCCGTTTAAAATTGTCCTCGGATTTCGGTATTTTTGTTTTTTTACTTCTCACCTAGTTTTTATTATTAATATTTAAAGGTACATTTTAGTAGAGATTTATAAGCACATTTTCCCCGTTATTGTATCGAACTCTTATGATTTTAAATTTTCAATGTCCAACAATCGAAACATATATTTGATATGAATATAATACATTAGCATCGATATTATCATAACTTTCATGATTAATCTTTAAAACAAACAAAAAAGATACAAATGCTCTGTAGATCAACATAAACGTTCATTGACAATAAAAAAAAATGCGTAACTACCAGCAAGAGTTACAAATACGTCTGACTTAATGTTCGCCCAATTTCTTATATAATCGTATATCTCATCTATCTTACTATTACTATACAAATAAGCGAGACGAGGTACGATAGCCACTAAGACAACTATCCACAAGATTTCAAATAGATTGATGAAAGCAAATACATTGTGTATATAAACAATTATAGGTAACCGTACTGCCTTTTATGATGCGAAAACCCGATATACTTTATACTTGATGAAATTATGTCATTGTCAAGAACATAAAGCTGCATCTTTTCTCAAATAAAAGAATTATGTTGGTATTGCTAAAAGTAACCGCGACAACACATCAAAATACCATTAAAAAGATGTACGGTAATTGAGCAAATGGAAGATGATGTGATTGTCTATTTCCCGAAGTGCCGCATGTTTACAAAACAAATCTATTAAATAAACATTGATTCACGAAAACCAGTGGTATGATCCATATATAAGTTTACCTGCATTGCGTTTTATATCATATTTAAAATAATGGAAAGTAGTGAAATTGCTAATTTGTAAACGTATATTATCAGAATATTACATGGCATTTTTCATAGCAGAACTGAATGCTTGAGGGCTGATATTGACAGAGGGCTGATATTACATCTGATATGAAAAATTACATGTTATGATCTTTAATCATATGCTTCAACAATGGAGAAAAATAACAGTTAAATATATTGATTCTTTTTAAGTGGTTCCGAAGTAGAAGTTCGCTTCTTTTTATCATACACGTCAAACAGAAAAAATACATACAAGGATTTTTTAAACTTTGAAAACATGAATTTTATTGTATCATTTTTTTTTTTTTTGCATTACTCAAGATATTTTTTCCTGTTTCCTAATATTTTGTTTTTCTTCTACATGTATCCTACACTATGTTTTCACTAAAAACGTACTATTGTGCCGAGTGACGTTGATATACATGCGAGAACGTTACGGAAATGCATGGGATAGTAACCAGAAGCTGTTGATATCAGCATATTAGGCCAGTAAGCACCATTACGGAAAATATGGAATTTACGTACATCTAAAGCTATTATCATACTGTTCAAAGTTATTTACTCTAAGTACAGATGGGTGCAGTCCTAACATGTACACAATTTAATTTGGAACATATTTTTTGACTGCACAACAGGTGAACTTGAAAATTTTTTAAGCAGACAAGAAAGTTAACTAAAATTGTCTCATTGGCAATTATACCACATCTTCATTTTATTATTAGCCGTTGGAAGACCAAACCTAGGTCTGCTTTTTAGGACTTCTGCAGACCTATTGGCATGCCTGCTCTAGACCAGACCTGTGGAAAAGTCTGCTATGGACCAGTCCTGATGAAATGTCTGGCCCAGAGCAGACCTAAGGACAAGTCTGCTACTGACCAGTCCTCAAGACAGGTCTGCTTTTGACAGATTATCGTGTTATAAGACTTTACATATTATGCCTGGACTTTTATTATGTAAACGGTGAACAAATATATCGTTATTTTTTCCAGGATAGCAAATTATTATACTCGTTAGATATTATACAAAATGAAAATTTCTTTTTTTCATTTCATATTCTTATATACAAATTTACATTAAATAATGGCTATAACATTATCCACTTGTGATCGACAAATATACATGCAGCTATCACGAAAGAAAGGTATTTGTTTTAATTAGAAGACGGATAGAAAGGTTATCAACCGCATAGGATTTTTTTTTATATGATGGTATATAAACATCATTGTTTACGTTGCTTCGTTGCCAATTTCTTAAGTCTCTATTTTAACAAAATGTGACTTGGATGGAGAGTTGTCTCATTGGCACTCATACCACATCTTCTTACGTTCATCTTCCTTAATATAGCTCTTTGTATTACATGGAAATTTTATCGTTATTCACCTTGTTTGCCTAGGAATAACGAATTTTAACAAAATGTTCAAACAAAAAAAATTATACAGTGTCCGGATATATAAGGTGTTGTATGATTATGAAACATTTCGTTAATGTGTACAGATTTATTTTGACCGATTATGAATGATATATTGGACGTCCATAAAGGTATACTCGTTCTGTACATGAATGGAATATTTGCCTCTGAACGTTTGGCTACCAACAAAATCAATCAACCGACATAATTTACTAACAGAATACTATTCCAAGAGAACTTCTCATACTTTTCATTATAAAGTACAAATGAAATCAGTCATGTAAGTGTTAGGCAATATGGACAGCGGTTAAATAGTTTTTTTTACAAACCATCCTGCACTACTGACTTAAGTGACGGTTCAATGTTATGAATACGGAGAGGGAATGCCGACACTTTAGTGCAGAGAATATTGTGTAGTCATCATGGCTATTATGTACCAATGTTGCTGTCATTTATTTTATACAATCGATTCTGCGTTAACAAATTTATAGATTTGCGATGCGGCTATAAAATAGCGAATGATCATGAATATTTTGTAGCATTGTGTTCCAATATTGCTGTCATTTGTATGGTACAATCCATTCTGACATAAAAAAAAAATAATGATTTATTGTGCAGCCATATAAATTTACACAATACAGTGCAAAAATGGTAAGTTTTGGTTGATGCGATCAAATGATTTCGTTATACGTGTCAGCCTCGGGTATCACAACTACTGATTGTTTTGGCTAGTCCATATTTTTAGCATGTTGTGTAAACGTGGTAAAGTGAAGACATACTGGCACTCTAAATTGACGCAAAACAACATTCTGTAGTCATTGTGTTCCGATATTGCTGTCACATATATTGTACAATATATTCTGACATAAAGATATTACTGATTTACTATGCGGCTATATAGATTTACATAATGAAATGCAAATATGGTCAGTTTTTATTGATGCGGTCAAATAATTTTGTTATACGTGTCACCCCCAGGTATAAAAAAACTACTGATTTTTTGTGGCTAGTCCATAATTTGAACATGTTGTGTAAACGTGGTAAAGTGAAGACATACTGGCACTCTAAACGGGTGCAAACAACATTGTGTAGTCATTGTGTGCCGATATTGCTGTCATATGTATTATACAACCTATCCTGACATAAAATTCTTACTGATTTTCTATGCGGCTACATAGATTTACTTATCTAAAACGTAATATGGTCAGGTTTGGTCAATTTGGCAGCTATACAGATTCACATAATAAAGTGCAAATTTGGTCAGCCTTAAAAGCGCAGGGTTTGGCTAGCCACAAAGCCAGGTTCAATTCACCTTTTTTTCTTAAAATGTCCTGTATCAAGTCAGGAAAATGGCAGTTGCTATCTTATAGTTCGTTTTTCTATGTGTGTTGCATTGTCTGTTGTTTTTGTTGCACTTCAGTGTTTCTGTTGTTTTGTTGTTTTCCTCCTCTTATAGTTGATGTGTTTCCCTAGGTTTTAGTTTGTAACTCGGATTTGTTTTCTCTCAATCGGTTTTTGACTTCGAACAGCGTATACTACTGTTGCCTTTTTTGGTTAATGCGGTCAAATATACGAGTCCACCTGAGGTATTAAAACTACTAAATGTTGTTGCTAGTCAATATTTTGAAGAAAAAAAAGAGGACATGATTGCACTTTTAATTGATGCGGACATACTTTTGTAGTAATTGTGATCCAATATTGCTGTCATTTGTATTAAAGAATCTCTCCTGACATAAAAAAAAAACACACTGATTTATTATGCGGCTTTAAAAATTTACATAACAAATTGCAAATATGGTCAGTTTTGGTTGATGCAGTCATAATATTTGTTACACAAGTCAGCCTGATATATCAAAACTAACGATTTTGTGTGGAGCGTTTATATTTTGAATATGTTGTATATAATGAAGACATGCTGGCACTTTAAATTGATGCGAACAACATTTTGTAATCATTGTGTTCAAATATTGCTGTCATTTGTATAACACAATCGATCCTGACATAAAGTGATTACTGACTCATGTTGCCGCTATATAAATATACATAATAAAGTGCAAATATGGTCAGTTCTGGTTGATGCCTTCAAATTATTTCATTTTATTTGAGCTAGTCTGAGTTGTGAAAACTGCAGCTTTTTGGTGATGTTGCAATTATTTGGATAAAAAAAGACAGACTCGCACCGTTAATTGGTGCAGGAAAAAAGAAATATTAGTTCGCCGACCATAAGAATGATAAATGTTAGTAACTGTACACTAATACACTTTCGTTTATAATGATTATTTTATACAATCTAAGTACTCTTCGTTATTGGCATTTTTATCGATTTTATCTGATAACCAAGTTTATAAGATAAATGCTACGTTTTGAAACCAATCAGAACTGATAACATTCTTTTCTATAGAATACATTTATATAAGACTTACAGAATTTGATATTCATTAGAATATATGTGTAATACCCGTCAGCATTTTACATGTTTTAACCAATATCGTATTCAATCTATAAATAGGCAGATTACGGAGAAATTTGTAAAGAAAGCAAAGTTTTATGCCACCATAAGCATGATAAGTTAATATATCCGTGCTGCAAATATATACTATGACTATAAACAACATTGACATAAGAAGCGAATACATAGTTAACACATTAACTAACTTATATGAAACACTGACATACTATTGTACCACCTCACGTTATCTTTTGACAATTCAAACTGTTAAACTATAATCAACACACACATACATGACACACAAAGTCCAAGCATCGCCCTTACATTTCTGTAAAAGACACTTGTGAAAAATGGAAATTTGAATCCGAAAAAAAAAAGTTTTGCTTATCCAACTATGTAAATTATAGAGAACGTTATTTTTCAAAGATCAATTTTAAAACACTTACACCGACTAGAAATTGCAGTATATGTCTTTAAATCCAATGAATCCATTATGAGGCAGAAATGTAGATGATAGGTGAAATGTTTTCACGAATAACCGGAATTGCAGTTTATTTACCGTAACGTATTGTTTTTGTTTTCCGTGTATTCATTATAAAGCATAGGTTTGTGTAATTTAAATGTAAGTAAATGAATATTGTTTAGATTTTTTTATATTTTATAACAAAACGGTGTTCTCCAATCAAATGTTTCTAGTTGCGTGTTCAACAGTGAACCAGCAGTAGTCATAGTGGATCTGCAAAAGGTTGTTTCCAGATCGAGTCGGCTTTCCACCTTACGGCTCATTTGCAAATAGCAATGCCTTCTGCTCCAAGGCATATTATGCATCCTAAAAAGAAAAAAAAAGATATCTTTTAGTTAGATTTTATGAGTTTTGTTCTTTTAATTTGCTCACTTTTTTGACTTGGTACAGATATTTTGGAAAATGGTATATTAAACCTCGTTTTTTAGCTAGCTAAACCTCTCACTTGTTTGACAGTCGCATAAAATTCCATTACATTGACAACGATGTGTGAACAAAACAAACAGACATAGTTTTGTCCGTTTCTTCCGACTTATTAGTTTTAAATGTACCCATAGTATCGTCTGCCCTTTTTCATAAGCTGGAAGTGTATATTAAACAAATCTATTAACATTTTCTGTCTTTTAGTTCCTGTTTTACTATTCCGGTTCAATATGTAAATATTAAGATAAAGAAATGATAAAAAAATGTACGGAATTTTACAGATATAGCCATGTTCATATTCATGATTACTGTATCTATATTGCTTTAGAGTACCTTCTTATTAACAAACATATAATTTACATTACATATACATGTAGTATAAGAATACATTTGCAGTTGATTGTTTGTCGCATGGTTTCAACGAATAAAACTGGTCAGGACCATTTGCATAATATATTTTCCAAACATAATTTTGGAACAAATATCGACCCAAATTTATGGAATGGAATATACGCAATTATAAAAGGTACCTGTATGACATTCTACAATAAGCAAACATCTTCCCATATAACCAGTTTTTAAATGCCTGAATATAATGTCAAAAAGTTCGTATAAAACATTAATCACTGACAAAATTTTGGGAAGTAAAAGATGTTTGCCCTTAATTTGAAAAGGGAAACAGTAAATAATTGAGGCTGTATATAATATTTTATGATAAATACTGCTTTATACTTGTACAAAGTGGTTTCTACTTCGTTTTCTTTAGAGTGACAATTCATAATCAACAAACTCATTCTTAAGGTTAAACGGGCACTAGCTGTCAAATTCATGTTCAGCGATTTGACTCAAATTATCATATGAAACCTGTAGCCAAATTGCAATAAATTTGAAATAAAAGGTTAACAAAGCTTGTGTTCGATAGTATGTATCAGAATTGTGTGTGTACATCTTTGCTTATTTTGACAAAATAGAACCAAATTGGATGCTAAAAACGAATAATTATTCTTTATTTCACTTTTATTCTTGATTGAACCTAACGAAATAATATGCCATTTTTTCATATCTCGTGCTAATGCCCCTAATTCATTAATTTAAATATTAAAAAAAAAAACATGCATGTATTTGTCAACAGGATCTTTTTGTTTTCAAGGAAATCAAAACACATAATTTCAGGCAACAGGTTTTGTCTATGGCATTTGTTATACCAGTATATATATGGGTACAGTATTATTGCCATGTGTTCATCAAACAGATATGTACCAAGAGAGTTACAATGCAGGTTAAAAAAACTGAAAATGATGTAAATACACAATAACCGATAAAAATATGGTTTTTGATTAAACGTAATTAATATGAACGGTGAAATACAGGTGGAATGTACGAATGGGTTACCCTTCCATAATGTCCTTCATTTCTTTTGATGGTATAACATTTTTAGATATACATCACAATGATGCATTTAACTTTGAATGCATTAAGCAGAAACAATCATAGTCAACGAATAATAAACTGTTATCACAGAGATATGTCTCGCTTTTTTTTAATTTTGATTATGCAAATGTTGAAATTTAAACAGCAATACTTTTACATGTGACGTAAGTGGCAAATATTCAAAGTCGATGAACCATGCCTGAGGTACATAGGTAATCAATCTCCATGTAAATGAGATGTGCCAATGCTAAAACATCAATACCAAATATCATTGACTTATTGTTTTGAACAAACCTAAACACAAACAATAACTTGTAAACTATGTAATAGTTTCAAAGTCAATGAACCTTGAAGAGGGGTGGAGCTATATAATCTCCATGGAAACGATACTTACAAATGTCAATAAATTTGCATACCAAATGTATTTATCAAAGTTGTACAAAAATCGAACATGTAAAAATGTTGTTTGTTTATAGTTGACTAGTGTTTGGTTAATTATAGTAAGGTCGGTTCGATTGGGATATTGAGTTCATGCACGAGTGAACTCAGGTAGTTTAAAGTCATTCGAGCCATTGCAGTCAAAGTGTACAGTAGCATTTTGCCAAATAAATAATATTATTAATTATATTATTTATTTTCAGATTTGTAGAACTAGTAAGGGGAAACCAGTACATGTACAAGCTGCTTAATACCTGTGTATTTATATGAACTTTTCACAATATTATACTCATATTTATAATACAATGTGCGCTTGTCTCTGCAAGTGGCGTCTCCCATGTAAGAGTTTGTGGTTATTTGATAAATATTGTATGTTCGTTTGAGTTTACGAATTAGAATTTAAATATCATTTACTTAACATTAGCAGTTCATCTTAAAATGATCGAATCACAAACTAATACATATATGTAAACTAAGCAAAAGTTTCAAAATCAATAGACCATGACTGAGGGGCAAGGCCAAATATTCTGCATGGAAATGAGATGTGCTAAAGCTTATACAACTGAATACCAATTAACTTTAGCCTACTATTTATGGTATCCCTTGAACTGACCTAATCACAAACTAATACATGTTAACTAAGCAAAATAGACCATGATGAAGGGGGCGGAGCCAAACAATCCCCATGAAAATGAGATATGCCAATGTTTATGCAACTGCATATTAAATATCATTGACCTACCACTAGTGGTTCCCCATAAACTGAACTAATCACATACTAATACATGTTAAATAAGCAAATGTTTCAAAGTCCATAGACCATGACTGAGGGGACAGGGCCAAATAATCGCCATTAAAATGAGATGTGCCAATGCTAATGCAACTACATACCAAATATGATTGACCTACCAACTAGACCTAATTACAAACTAATACATTGTTGACGGCGGCGGTCGTCGCCGACGCCGGAACCAGCATACCTATGTCCTGCTTTTTGACTCCGTCAAGCGAGACAAAAACCGATGAACCCACAAAATGTTGATGTTTGCCTCGCTGATATTATTTTACCACAAACAATAAAATAAATGAAAATTATTTTTTTAATCTATTCATGCTATTCTCACTTTAGAATGCTCAAAACAAATAAAGACAAAACATTTCTACATCTCAGACACATTGCAATTATAAATTGTGGATGAACGTTTAAGTTATCATCAATTATGGAAAGACATACCAACTTGCAAATATTAATAAACCTTCAATATTTTGTATCTTCTACTTTAATTGATTTTAATTTTTTGTGTTTAAACGCCACGTTTTAGCACTGCTTTTGGGCTTTTTCCTGGAGGCCAGTTTTTATTGGTGGAGAAAGCCGGAATGCATGGAGAAAACCATCGACCTTCGATAGAAAAACTGACAATCCTAATAAATTTAGATTACGTTTTTGTATTCCGAAACAGAAAATTTAAGTTGACAGAAAGACTATTCTTTATATCTGTAAATTAGTATAAATGTCAACTTAACCACAAAAAGACTCCGGGAGCGTTTGCATGTTAAATCACATATGTACAAACAAACACAATGTATATTTTTAAGTAGAAGTTGGGAACCTCGATGGCCGAGTGGTCAGAGTAGTTACTACTGTAATCACTAGCCAGTCAACACTGAGGTTGTGAGTTCGAACCCTGCTCGTACGGTTGCACCCAACTCCAATCTTAATTGACAAGGATTTGAAGATTGCCGCAAGACTACAGACACTGTTAAATACCGTATAAAATAAAAGGTAGTAGAAGAGTTGAAATGTGTAGATTAAAAATGTTTAAAACAAACTCTTGTAAATAATTATAGAATAAGTCTTACCTGTATCTATTCGGTGTGCAATGAAAAGACACGTGCTTGTAAAAACTGTAAATTTCAGTACATCATTTTTGGTAAATATCCTTCTTATATTACCTCAATGTTTTTATACTATTTTCAATTCTTGCAGGGAATTTCTAAAGATATTTTTACTATCGGATTTTCCTTGATAGATAAGTCAAACAATGTTATCTATGACCAAGAAAATTATGTTCAATATCAAGTTTTATATTTGTAACTTTTATCTAAGGAAGAACGGACAATCGTGATTGTTCACCTTGAATTGTAAATACATCGACACAAATACATGACATAATATTTTCTATCAAATGTAAATTGTGCGGATCGATTGCTGATCTCTTTGTTGTTTAAATACCCAGGTTTCAAAATAGTTGTTAAATCAGTAAGTAAACACTAAAAAATATTTGGATGAAGGTTTTGGTCGTTTAAATTATTAAACTAAGCTGTCTCGCCCTTTGTGGGGTTATGAAATTCCCGAAAATACACATCACCACTTGATTGATCCAGGAAGAAGGTGCACACACATATTTATCGTTGTATGCGAAGTAACGGAGACGAAAAGAGTGTAATGGCCTGACCATTAGGTATAACCGACGATTGGGCTCAAGCAGAAAAGACTACCAGGTGCTGATACTTTAATTATGAACCAATCTGACATATGGTAAAAAGCTGAAAATACAAAATGAAATACAATTTTACAATGTGTTGAATCAATGTTATAATGTATGAATGTCAAATGTAGATAATAGCACAGTCCGTAGAACACGAAATAAGCTGCAATTATTAACGGTAAAGTTTCCAGTATATCACGGATAAAGTAGGATAAAGAGTTCAAATATGTGAAGAACGATTTGAAGGCATCAAATACAAAGTTATAAATGTAACTCACTCTGTGGTTAGCCACGAATTGTGTCCTAGATGACGTTTGTCCTTAAATGTTCTCCAGTTCTGGGATGACCTTGCAATGTTCAATTCGAGATACGTGTCAGAAAGGGAAAGGTAGCGATGATAAGATGTTTTAAAGTTTTTTTAAGGTTAAAGATGAATAATCCTCCTAGACTGGAACACATACACAGATTAAGAATATAATTAAACGAACAATATAAATTGAGGAACGGCGTAACAGAATACTTCCCGTCTGATGTCTATCTGATATCACTATTTCATAAATTAATCGCATATATATGAATATAAGATAAATAAATAAATCCTAACATAAATTGAATATGTACAGGTGAAATGTCCACTATTGGTCGTTTGAGAAATATCAAGTCTCAACTTACGACTTTTCACAATAAAGTTTATTCCACGCGAAACTGGGTTTGGTACAGTTTCTTGTCCTTTAAAAGAAGGATGTCTCGGGTGAGATTGGTGTGTTCTGTAGAATGTTCCATTACTGCTGTATCGATAATAGGAACTGTTTTCTCCAACGTTTTTAGACGGCGATGACGGTCGAAGATGGTCCTCCGATAAGTATGACGAGAGTTAGTACTTGGTCCTCGCCCGACTTGTCAAAATGTCACATCTATGTGAGGATCAGACGAAATTAAGCGTTTCGGCGACCTCGATGTTTGATTTTGTCGAAGTAATGTCCAACAAAGGGTGCTACTTTGTGATGATGTCCAGATAAGACCACCGGTTCCTTATCACTAATATTCAAGTCAGACTTGGCGATACTGCTTCCTACTCGGAGTAGACGTTGATTGTACAAAGGCAGATTGAGATTTGCATTCGGTCCTTCTTTTGGAATAAGTTTGTGAATGCGACTGATTTCCTCTCCATGAACTACATGTCATGTTGATTTCGGAATAAAAATTTCTTTCTCCATAGATTTTTCTATAGAAGTCACATATTTTGCTTTAAGTGACACGAGTGCTGTCCCCTTAGAGAAATTCATGATTCTACCAGACTTGGTACTAGATCCAGTACACTGAAGAAATTGTATGGAATGCTTTTTTGCAACCTTGACATTCGATTTAAAGTGTTGGTCGTTATCCTGAACAACAATTGGATTTTCGTCCGTGAAGGCTATTTCCGGTCTTGAGGCAAGACGTTGTTCTGGTTCCGTGATTCAAATGTTAGTTATATTCGTGTTGACTTCAAGCGGAACAGTTTGCTTGTCAATGTATGTATTTCCAATTATGACCCAACCAAGTTTCAACTTTTGGGCAAATGGAGTTCTGGATGGTCCTAGGCGTTGTTAAAGGACGTGGTGTGCCTCTACAAGGTCTCTTCCAATTAAGAGAAGAATGTTCCTCTATTGGTGGAATTCTTCCTCTGAGTTCATTTAGATGAGGATGATGCATTGCGACTTCAGGAGTAGGAATTTCGTCTCGAGTATTGGGAATATTATTACATTCAATTAATGTAGCAGATCAAATTGTACGTCACCATGTACAGATTTTAAGACGAAATCTTGTCCTTTTTTCCCGGAAGTAGCTACTCTGCCGGAGCATTTTGTAAGAGAGTAGTTTTCAGGTTTTTCCTGAACGTTGAACAAACTGAAGAATTCAGGCGAGGAGAGAGACCGGATGCTTTGGTCGTCAATGATCGATACATCCGGATAATTTTGTCTGTCCTGTCCTTGTGGTACACATCCACAGGTACCATCTTGGCACAAGTTTTCTCACTCTTAGGATCCTTGTGGATCTCTGTGCAGGTTGAACTCACAGAAGTTAACTTGATTTCAGCCGATTCTGTTGGCTCCCCGTCGTAGGCTTGTGTTGGCTCCCCGCCGTAGGCTTGTCTGGGCGAGCTAGACTGAGAACTTGCAGGTTGCTGTGGTCTAGTGATGTGAAGTGCGGTGGTATGTCGTTGACTTCCACATTCATAACAACTGATACTTGCGTTGCAGTCCCGACTTCTGTGTGTGGTTGACTCACATCACTTGTAGCACACATTGTTCTGTTTTAACAGTTCTTTGCGTTCCTCGATTGATTTGGCTCGGAATGCTCGACATTCATTCAAGGGATGATTTGTATTGTGTAGGATACACAGATCTTGTTGTTGACCGCTGTCTTCAGGTTGCTGTTCAACATCCGTCTTATAGGCGTTGACTTTAGAGTACGTCTATGGTGTGAACCTTGGCATAGCGCCTTTTGTATTTGGTGTGACTTTTGATCCAAAGATAGCCTTAGAATCGTTCTTTATTTTTCTAATTTCCCTTATGAAGGCAGAGAATTCTGTGAAAGGTGGAAAGGCAACTTCATATTTAGACTTGTATCTTGAAGCCCTTGTTATCCACTTTTCTTGAAGTCCGTATGGCAATTTTTCCACAATAGGATTTATCCCGGACGAAGAGTCAAAATATGCTAGCAAACATTCCAGCTTCGGATTTTCTTTGTGATACTCTATTTCGGAGATAATATCTGACAAATCGTAAAGGAGTGAGTTGTCCTTATTCGTCAGTGTTGGGAAGTTGACAAGTTGTTGACGAGAGACGCCTCCAACACTTCTGGAGCACCATATCGGTCGTCCATTTTCTCCCATAGTCTCTGTATCCTCTTGTTGGGTTATTGGCAGTTGATGCCCTTATACTTATGGCATGTTTGGCAGACTCTGGTCCAAGCCATTTAATAAGTAAGTCTATCTGTTCTTAGTCCGAAACTTGTACTTCGTCTATGACGTTTTTAAAGCTGTCTTTCCATGTATGGAAGGATTCTGCCCTGTCATTAAAGTTTGTTACCCGGGAGAACAGCAGGTCCTTGCGTCGGAAAATCTGGTTATCTCCGACATAGGGTTGATTTGTTGCTGGTGTGCAACAGGGATCTCTTCTGCAACACCCTGTTTTTGGTGTTTAGCAAGGATCTCATCTGAAAAGCCTAGTTTTTGTATGCCAGTTACTATTCCCAGATCTGGGATAAAAGTAAATTCTGGTGACTAAGTATCGGTTGGGAAGACAGCAGATGTCTGTGACGTCAAGTTCAGTGCCACGGATGGCACGAACGCTGGTGCTTCATGACTTAGCTCAATCTTAACAGGAATTTGTTTTATCTTTTGTTACTTCCTGTACTGTAGTTGGTACAGGATGATTGTTTACGAAATCTTGCACACGTTGGAGCGGTCTTCCGTTTCTTCAGGAAGATCGTCTAACGCTTGGCTGTCGTCATATTCTAGGATACGAGCCTCGGCTTCTGCGGCTGAAGCTTCTCTTCGTGCTTCTCACGTGTGGCTTCCTGTTCCATTTCAGCCTTCTTACTTGCGGCTCCCTGCTCCATTTCAGCTTGTCTGAACAGGGCTTGTTCCTCTAACATTGCCTCCTATTGTAGGATAAGGGCATGTTGTTCGACAAAGGCTATTTTTGATTTAGCGGCCTCTGCTTTGGCACGCTTCCTCCGTGCTAGACTTGACATGTCAGACACGTTAGACTACCGCTATGTGAGGTTTTCTTACTCTTTGAGGTCTTTGTTTTAGTAGATTTAGCCTTTGTCAGGTCGAGACGATGTTCGTGCAATATTTCTAGAGCCAGGTCTACTTTGGACAGACGAATATCCAATGTGATATTACTTGCGTCTATTCTTTTTGACTGTCCAATGTTCTGGTCCTTTTTAGAAAGTCCAGGTACTCATCTGTGAGCCTACGATAATTCGTACAGGCTTTTACAAGTATATCCTGGGCTGTCAAGAGTTGCTGAAGCTTGTTAGGAGGCGTGGTGACTTCCAATAACTGTGATTCTACATCGGACCAGAGGGCATCTAGTTCCTGACAGAACTTGTCACGTTTTTCTGTGAAAGCTCCTTTACCCTTTTACGTAAGGTCACGTACTCTCTTAGTCTCGGGATTTTCATATAAATGTGTAGTATTAGACGGATTTTCCACTAATTCTTCAGGAACATCTCCCTCAGGGGGTTGAACCTCATCTTGCTGTTCCGTGTGACTGGGATCCATGATGGCTCAACGTTGTTGGTTTGCTGCCAAAACACAAGCTATTTTGCGTAGTGTCAAGGTAACATCTACAAACGATGCTCCGTTGTATTTCCTGGTCAGGATATGTGTAGACAAGTTGTTGTCAATTTACTGTACGTCAAGGGATGACGCGTTCTTGCAGGGCTCAACAGGCAGGTTGTAGCTGTATACTAGTAACTGTCGTGGAGTGGCGTTATCTGTGAGACACAACAGGCAAGTTGTAGAATTTTCCAGACTAGAAGTTTCCAGTATATCACGGATAAAGTAGGATAAGGAGTTCAAATATGTGAAGAACGATTTAAAGGCATCAAATACAAATACGCTCTGTCTGCCTACTGTAAAAAGTGGTATAAACGTGAAAAATCTGATAAAAAATCTCTAGACAGTTATTTGAATAAATTTATGAATACTGTTAATATTCGTATATCTCATTTTGAAAACAATTCTGAAATTAATAATAGGGTCCATGATATTCCCATTTCTAAAATAAAAAATAAACTCCAAGAACTCGCAAAGCGGTTTGAGTTCGTACCGGCAGACAAGGCAGCCAATAATGTAGTGGTGGTATGACTCATATACTACACGGAAGTTCTCCAAAACGAAATTATCAATTCTTCTACATTCAGGTTCGTACGCTCAAATTTCATGACTTCAACTTCAACTTTTAATACATTTTTCTGGCTTTTGCTAGCTGTAACGATTAAAATGGTACCTTATTTTTTAAAATTGGTTCAGTAATAAAGATGTTATAAATGTAAGCAGTTGACATTGAAATGCGACAAAAAGTGATTTAAAAAAAAAATTCTTGATCAAAGTGTAAAATATCAAATCTGTCTCATTTTTTGTTTAAATTTCTAAAACTTTTCCCATTTTTCTGTTTAAAATCATAAAATTACCGCTATAGAGGAAAAAATGTACAATATTTAGATATTTGAAAGCACTTATAGGTCAATTTTGATGTAAATAGCATGCCAAACCTTAGTTAAGAAACTCTCAAATAGGGTATAAATTTCTAACAGTAGTGGCAACTTTAGATTTAATTCATGCCAAATTATAACATCAAATCCTACTAAAAATGTT